TGCTGATGACTCAACAGTGACAAGAGCCCCTGCCTTTATGGTCATGGGAAGGGGGTAGGGGACAGACAACCCGCAGCCACACAGCCAGTTCGTGCGGCAGGTTCAGGGTGGTAGGAGGTGCTGAGGAGGAGGCCAGGGGTGTTGTGGGGTGGCCACTGGGCTGGGCTACAGACATGCAGATACCTGGGGTCTGGCCTGACAGCACATCTATTTGGAGCTGTCAGCCAGCCCTGGGCACTAGAACCATGTGACTGTGGGGTTAAAGTGCGCTCTGAGTCGGAACTTGGTCAAGAGCAGCTTGCTTCTCCTGGTGCTAAGGACAGAGAAATGACTCTGTAACAGGAAAAAAGTTGTGGGTCACTCCAGGAGCAGTCCTAGGACAGGTTGTAGTGGCTCTGTAGGCGCGGCCTCGCCTCCTCTGGGTGGCAGTGTGGGCGTGGCCTCTCCCTCTGGATCGTGGTGAGAGCGTGGCCTTGCAGCCTCTGGGTGGCAGTGTGGGTGTGGCCTCTCCCTCTGGATCATGGTGAGAGCGTGGCCTTGCAGCCTCTGGGTGGCAGTGTGGGCGTGGCCTCTCCCTCTGGATCGTGGTGAGAGCGTGGCCTTGCAGCCTCTGGGTGGCAGTGTGGGTGTGGCCTCTCCCTCTGGATCGTGGTGAGAGCGCGGCCTTGCAGCCTCTGGGTGGCAGTGTGGGCGTGGCCTCTCCCTCTGGATCGTGGTGAGAGTGTGGCCTTGCAGCCTCTGGGTGGCGGTGTGGGTGTGGCCTCTCCCTCTGGGGAGCTCTGTGGGCCTGTTTGTCCTTCCTCCTAAACCGCTGCTGGTGCCGCTGCTGGCATTGCCTTAAGATCTCAGCCACATAGTTTGGGTATGACTAGGTCACAGATCCTTATGTGCCAGATGACAGAATGTCGGTTTATGAAATAAAAAACATTGACTTTTCCTCATGGAGAATATCAGGAATATACGGAAGTAGAGAGAGGAACCAGCCAGCTACAAGGATGATTCTCTCCTCTCACCGCGCTTACCCTCAGACGGCCCCCACTGTTCCTTTGAAACAAAGCTCAGGTCTATTGCGAGCTTATCGCTTGCAGTGAGCACAGAGACTGAAGTACTCAGACGATTCCAGCTGAGCGGGGCTGGGCGGTAGCTCTTCTGAGAGAGTCACCCCCAGCATCCGTCCGCCAAGTGTGTATCGAAAGGGCTTGTATTAACTACAAACATGCACTAGATGGCCGTTTGAGGTGGGTTGCTGAGGTACCTCTGACCCTGAACACACTCAAACTGCATTCTCAGGAGGCTGTTTTCAGCGTTCCTTATCACACCACCACACATTCTCCTCCCCTGTCCTGTTTTCAGGGTCAAGGAGTTTCATTCACATGGACAAGTAGCATACACAGGGCCTCAGTATTTTTCCATGCCCCGAGCTCAAATGCTTTGTACATAAAGCTTGAATATGTTGCCATGTACCCCCACCATATAACATTTCATAGAAATAGAAAATAATCGAAAAAGATTTCAAAACTATTTTTACATTTTCTGTTAGCCTCACTCCCTTTTTTTCTTTTTGATTTTTGAGACGTTTCTCCCAGGCTGGAGTGGTGCAGTGGTGTGATCTTGGCTTATTGCACCCTCTGCCTCCTGGATTCAAGGGATTCTTGTTCTTCAACCTTCTGGGTGCCTGGGACCACAGGCGCACACCACCACTACGCCTGACTAATTGTATTTTTAGTAGATACAGGGTTTTTCCGTGTTGGCCAGGCTGGTCTGGCCCCTGGCCTCAAGTGATCCACTCGCCTCTGCCTCCCAAAACGCTGGATTACAGGCATGAGCCACCATGCCCAGCCCCCCTTTTAATTTTTTGGAGACAGGGTCTCTGTTGCCCAGGCTGGAGTACACTGGATCACAGCTCACTATGGCCTCAACCTTCTGGACTGAGTGATCCTCCCACCTCAGCCTCCTGAGTAGCTGGGGCCATAGGTGCGTGCCTTCATGCCTGGCTAATTTTGTGTGTGTTTGTTTGTTGTTGAAACAGGCTCTTCCTGTATTGCCCAGGATGGTCTCAAACTCTGGGGCTCAAGTGGTCTTCCTGCTTCGGTCCCCCACAGTGCTGGGATGACAATGTCGCCACCATGCCTGGCCTGGGTGCTTAACTCTTCGGTCGCACATTTGCACTTTGCTTTATTCTGCAGCGATTGGTCATGGCTTGTCCCCTCATACATTACAGCACATTAGGAAGTGTTTTCAGAATCTCAGGTTTGAGGAACGCTGGTCATCTAGCCGGTGTGCCAGGAGAGGCTCTGCAGATACGTGTGCAGACTGTAGACTCACACACGTACCACAATTGGGCTCTGAATCTGAAGAGTAGTGATGAGGTTGATTTCAGAATTCCACATGTCCCCAGGTGAAACAGCACCTTTGGGAGGGACATTCAAGCAGCAGCTGAGTAGGCCACCTGTGTAAGCCCAGGCCCTCGGGAAGAGCTGGCTGCTGGGAGGCGCCCCTTGGAGAACGTACAGAAGCTCTAGTTCTTTATCAGAGGTTCCCCAGCAACCTGCATCAGACTTTTCTGTGAGGTCGCTGACCTGGGGAGACCCTGCCCGACCGCTTAGTCAGGGAAGGCCTGCTGATGAGAGTCCTGTGTTCTAATCAGGTGTGGAGTTGCTTTCCTCGATGCTTCCCAGCCTTCAGTCTCCATGCCAAAATAGCCATGTTTATTCTAGTGTTAATTAAATACCGGGAATGCTGTCTCGCCTTCTGCCCTAGAGGAGTGTGGCTGGGATGAGGGTGGTTCTGTTGACACGTTTGTGGTGTTTGTGAAGTTTCTAGGGAATGATTTCCTCCCAGCTGCAGTTGAGTGGTTTCCGTGAACAGGGACAACCTCGAAATTCAAAGGCCAAGCATGGGGTGCAGCTTTTTTCTTTCCTTCAAAAACCTCATTTGAGTGCAAGAAAGAAACAAAACACCTGTTTGTAACAACAGCATTGTGGTGAGCACAAATTGTCTTAATTTTGTGAAGCTGTGTATGAAATAGGACTATTGCAATTTACTATATTCAAAATGCCAATTAAATCTTCATCAGACAGGGGGGCTTTGGTGTCCAGTGCTGTTGGCGAGATAATATAAAATATGATTATGGTCAGTACCAAATGTCAGTTATGCTTGAATTTATTCATGCCACTTAAAGAGACAGATGGGCAAACTTAAATCCGGAATGAGTGGGAATCAAGAATAGTCCCAAAGGTTTGATGTCTCTGCAGATGATACATACACCCTCGAACAACACTGTTTGCAGTGTTTAAACATCTGTGTGAATAGAAGCACATAGGCTTGTGGAAGAACCAGAGAGATACAGAGTTTCAGTTTTAGGTTTTTATGTATCATGTCTGCAAAAGATTGTTGTGTTGTAGTTTCCCTGTTAGAGAGAAGAGCCTTGGAGAGTGAGTGTCCTCAGGATGTCTCCCCGTTATGAGCAGGGAATAATTTCTGTTTACTCATCTTGGGGACGCATCCTGCCACTGGAAAATTAACAAGATTTTTAGTGGTTGTGTAGTCTGTCTTCCCCCTCTCTCTTTCCAGTTTTTGCTGACAGAATTACTGCTGAGACTGCTGATTTCAGTAATCAATGATAGCCTGCTAATTATCAGAAAGGGTAGGGTGCCTATTTATTTTTATTTATTTTTTTATTTTTTAAAGCTTTACTAAAGATGGGGTTTTACCATGATGGCCAGGCTGGTCTTGAACTCCTGACCTCAGGTGACCCGTCTACCTCGGGACCTCCCAGAGTGCTAGGATTACAGGCGTGAGCCACCGTGCCCGACGAGTGCCTGTCCTGGGCTTAACTGCAGAGCCTGTCAGAATGGTTAAAGTGCCTATTCATCAGGGTCTTAATCACTTTCTGATAGTTTACAAAAGGTAATAGCATAATAGTAAATAATTACGTAATTTACATATGTCACTTCTCCCTCTGTCTTTCTGGAGACTTCTTTTCACAGATTGGAAGGCCTGTGAGGTTAGACCCTGTGTGGTATTGTGTGCTTAAATCAGCCTCAGACCCCTCTGCCTTCCACTCACCGCCTCTGAAGCCATTGCTTGCTCCCATGCTCTGCCAGCGGGAAACCGTTCCAGGGCCCTCTCTCCTAGAGCTCCTCCTTACACCTATGTAAAAATCAGCTTTGTATGATCAAAAAGATTAGCACTCTGAAAAGTGCTGTTAGTTTCTCCAGTGATTTCCCTAAAAGTTCTCAGAGTTTCTTGCCCTTTAGGGCAGACCTAGGGAGGATGCACTGACTTCCCGACTCCTGATCATTCTGCAGGTGAACTGCAGCTCTGCGCTGTGTGACCCCGGAGCCCGTACCCTCCCGTGTGCGACCCCAGAGCCCGTACCCTCTTGCCCCGCGACCCTGGAGCCCGTACCCTCCCACCCCGTGACCCCGGAGCCCATACCCTCCCGCGTGTGACCCCAGAGCCCGTGCCCTCTTGCCCCACGACCCCGGAGCCCGTACCCTCCCGCCCCGTGACCCCGGAGTCCGTACCCTCCCGCCCCGTGACCCCGGAGCCCATACCCTCCCACCGTGCGACCCCGGAGCCCGTACCCTCCCGCCCTGTGACCCCGGAGCCCGTACCCTCCTGCCCCGTGACCCCGGAGCCCGTACCCTCCCGCCCTGTGACCCCGGAGTCCGTACCCTCCCGCCGTGCGACCCCCGAGCCCGTACCCTCCCGCCGTGCGACCCCGGAGCCTGTACCCTCCCACCCCGTGACCCCGGAGCCCGTACCCTCCCGCCGTGCGACCCCGGAGCCCGTACCCTCCCACCCCGTGACCCTGGAGCCCATACCCTCCCGCCGTGCTACCCCGGAGCCCGTACCCTCCCGCCCCGTGACCCCGGAGTCCGTACCCTCCCGCCCTGTGACCCTGGAGCCCGTACCCTCCCTCTTATGTCCCGCCCACACAGTAGCCCTACATTTATTCACAAAACATTTTGTTCTGTTTTTTGTTACTCCCTTAGGAAGATGCAATCACACCCAACGATAAGACCCTTTTCCCTGATGTTGATTGGCTAATCGGTAACCATTCTGATGAACTCACACCGTGGATACCTGTCATCGCGGCCAGGTGAGAGGTAGAGGAATTATCTGCTGAGTGCCTGCTGAATACTTCCTCGGCTAAGTGTTGATGTCCAAAAGGGGAGCCACTGGCTGCATGCAGGTGCCAAGCACTTGAAATATGGGTAGTTCCCATTTTTGAAATGTTTGCATATTGCCTATATTGGGCTAAATTTAAAATAAATTCCGCCTGTCTTATTTTGCCTTTTAAAATACGACTACTAGAAAACATTAGATATTCACATTATGTCCCCGTCAGCCAGCGCTGATGGGCACTGTGATGACGTCTACAGTGTTTATATCTGGTGTCAAAAGAGGTGTCCTTTTTGGAAGTTTTTCCTGAAAACATGAGGGTTTGCCTGCAAAGGGGAGGTCTGCCCACTGATAGCCCTCTGCAGCCACAGGTGTTCCTGCACCGGACGCTGTGTGTGCTAGAGGCGGCTGGGCCTGGGCCTGAGAGAAGCAGGTGGGTGCTGCTCGTTGCCGAGTCTCCGTTTCTCAGGTTCTGCAGAGCGATTTGAGTTCTCAGGAAGTAACTAGGTTAAATATCAGGTCTCCCCTCGGGCTTGGCTGTGCCTCCCTCTCCATTTCCCATTCAGAGCGGACATCTTAAAGTACTTCAGGAAGTTTTAGATGACACTCGACAAGAGTAACTGAAAAAAAATCCTTTTTTATAAAAGTAATGAGATTCATATTTTATTGAAAAGATACAAAAATTAAACTGGGGAAGGCTGTAATTCATCTTTTAATATAAAAGCAAAGTGACACAGCCATGAAGAGAAGGAGGTCATGTCCTCTGCAGAAGCATGGGCACAGCTGGAGGCCAGAACCAAAGCCCAGGTGCCGCGTGTTCTCACGAGCAGTAGCTGCATATTGAGTACGAGGGACGCGAACGCGGCAGCGGCAGACAGTGGGGACTACAGGCGTGGGGAGCGAGGGCGGGAGGGGCAAAGGTGGCAAAACCACCTGGTGGCCACTCTGCCCGCCGCTTGGGTCGTGGGGTCCATCTTACCCCAAACGTCAGTCTCATGCCACACACCCTCACACAGACCCCCAGAATCTGAAATAAAAGTGGTTACTGTTAAAAAAAACCAAAACCAAAAACCAGCATTGGCCCGGAACATGTCTTCCCCGTTTTGTCCGATGCGCGACTGCCGTGTGGCTTTGTGCTGGTTTCCTTGCCGGCGTCTGCTCAGGGTGCGTGCCTGGCTCTGTCGTTGATTCTGTTTGAAGGTCTGCCTACAACTGCTGCTTCTTTGTCCTCCCCTGCTGCTGCTTTGACTTTGTTGGAAAATACCGCCGGAGGCAGAGTAAGAAGACTCAGTACCGGGAGTACCTTGACTTCATTAAGGAAGTGGGCTCCGCCTGTGGGTTCCACGTGGAGGAAGACTGCCTGAGGATTCCTTCAACCAAAAGAGTACGTTCCAATTCTTCTTGTTGTTCTTGGTGACGTGCGGGTGTCCAGATGGGGAGCTCAGGGCTGTGTCACACAGCCATGAACCACGTTGTGACGTTCAAAATGTACAAATGTTCCAGAACGTGCTGGTGCTGATCTCTGTGTCTCGGTCACTGACAGGGCCAGAGGCTTGTTCTGTCCCGTGGTGCCCTCCTTGAAGGCATGCCAGTGTCCCCTCCTCCAGGCCTGCTCGAGCCCTGGCCGAGCCTTCCTTGGCTCTCCAGAAGCTCTGAGCGGCCCAGGGGCCCTTCCTCCGAGAGGAGGCCTCGGCCTGGGTGCGCAGTGCCTTCTTGCCTCAGTGCTGCCTATGGCTGAGCTCCCTGTGGAAAGTGTCCGCTCCTTCAAGTGCCAGATGATTGGCTGTGAATGAAGTGTGTTTCAGAAGCTCACCACGATTTCCCACTTTCTCATTGAAAGCCTGGTGAATCCAGATTTACCTGAAATGTCATCTGGGCAGAAGTTGGTCCCGGGACTTTCTGTGAGACAGTGCGGCTGTGTCTCTGACCTTTGTGTGGACAGGGGACTGATTCCCTCTGGCCACTCTGAGGGCTTGACCTTTCTAAAGCACCATGGAAGCGTTTCCTGCAGCCCCTCACCTCCATCTCTGGTAATTTTATTTGACAAGACTTTGTGGCTGGCAGACAGTGTGCTTTTAAAAAATAACCTCGTTGTGTCCAGGCCACAGGGTTTGATGGCTGCCTTAGCAAGAAGGGGCCCAGCTGGTCTGAGCAAGGCCTCGGCCCTGCCGCTGCCTGTGGTGCACTCAGGCTGATGGCGGAGCTCTGCGAACCTGTGCTCGTGTGTGAGCCCGAGAGGAGCCTGCCTGGGCTGTGGGGGCTAGACGGGACGATGTCTTCAGAGCCCGCACAGGAAGGGCATGTTGTGGGCCCTCGCTGGCCGGCTGCAGTCATAGCCATGCGCCAGGAACAGCGTTGGCTGGTGGCTCAGGCCTCGTGGCCGCTGGCACTACCTCCGCCTGCTACCGTGGGAAGTTACCTCAGGGCTTGCTGCTGAGCCGTCCTGACATCTCTCTGTCCTCTTTTTGGCAAGTCTTGGTCTTCTGAGGTCAGCTTTGATTTGGGGAAACTGCTAAATATTGGGTCCTCTAGGCAGGTCCGAGGAGCCAGTGGCTTTGATGTTTGCACTTGCTGCCCATGACTGGTTGTCAGAGACTGCACTGTCGCTTCATGTCTCTGAGCCTCAGTTGTCTTGTCATGGACAGGTTTGGGGTTGGAGTGGACGTGAACGGGCTTTGTCATTTTAAAGCAGTTCACACACAGCAGATGTCTGGTGGGGACTGGGTGTGTGACAGGCATTGAAAATATAAAATCCCGCCGGAAGAGCTGGGGAGCAGAGGTGTGGCTGTCGTGTAGTGAAGAGGTCAGTTTCCTCATCACCTGCGCCTGGCCTTGTAGTTGATGCCTGGAGAGGAAGCCTAGAAATGAGGGCCTGGTTCTCTGGAGGGGACTGTCTGAAGAGCACCCTCCCTCAGGTGTGCCACGAAGGAAGGAGAGCAGCACGCTTGGAGCGCCCCTGTGCTTCCATGCCCTCTGCTCAGTTTCATGTGTACTCGCTGGCTCCCTTCCTGGCCCCTGGGGCACTCCACAGTGTTACCCTCAGCCTGTGCTCCTGGGCGGGGTGGCACCTGAAAGCCTTTAGGACGGTGTGGCTGCTGGCCTAGGATTGTGGACTCTGAGTTTAGGCGCCTTTGTTAGGTCTTGTGAAGGTCCGAGTGATGAGAGGGAACCATGGGCTTGTGCTGTTTTTCATTTTTAAGTCACATACATTGGTGTTGGTTTTTATTTTTCATTTACTTATTTTTTTTTTGAGGCGGAGTTTTCTCTCGTCACCCAGGCTGGAGTGCAGTGGCGCAATCTCGGCTCACTGCAACCTCTGCCACCCGGGTTCAAGTGATCCTCTTGCCTCAGTCTCCCAAGTCGCTGGGATTATAGGTGTGCGCCACCACGCCTGGCTCATTTTTGTATTTTTAGTAGAGATGGGGTTTCGCCATGTTGGCCAGGCTGGTCACGAACTCCTGACCTCAAGTGATCCACCACCTTGGTCTCTCAAAGTGCTGGGATTACAGGTATGAGCCACCACACCGGCTGGTGTCAGTTTTAAAAATCAGGATTTTTTCATGGTAGACGTTTAAAAGTCGAATGTGATTTGTACTGCAGGATGAGAGAATTCCATGGAGAACGCTGACGCAGACGAGCCAGCTGAAATACTTGCATTGCTCTTTTCAAACGCAGGTCTGTCTCGTTGGGAAATCCAGAACATACCCTCCCTCCAGAGAAGCTTCCATGGATGAGAAGAGGACTCAGTACATTAACAGCAGGCAGGGCCGCCCTGTAAGCCCACCTGGCCAAGGGCTTTCCCCTTCTCCACCCCAGGTTGCTTTTGGCAGCACTGGTCACTGCGACGGTCACCAAGCTCTGGACGCCGGGGTTGGGTGTGTACCTGGGGCCCAGGCTGCTGAGCATAGATCAGGACCTCAGACTGGAGGACCCTGGCTACCTGGATTTCATCCCAGAGAAAAGACTGAGCGTGTGAGGAACTGTGCTGCCCTCCCTCGAGACTTCATTGACCAAGTGGTTTTGCAAGTGGCGAATTTACTATTAGGTGGAAAGCAATCAAACACAAGAAGTTCTCGAAATGGGAGTGTGAAGACCTGGAATGGGGGAGGTAAGCCATCCACCACCTTAGGGACACCTGGAATGGGGGAGGTACGTCCACCACCTTAGGGACACCTGGAATGGGGGAGGTACGTCCACCACCTTAGGGACACCTGGAATGGGGGAGGTACGCCGTCCACCACCTTAGGGACACCTGGAATGGGGGAGGTAAGCTGTCCAGCACCTTAGGGACAAGCTGTCCAGCACCTTACAGACACCTGGAATGGGGGAGGTAAGCCGTCTACCACCTTAGGGACACCTGGAATGGGGCAGGTACGCCGTCCACCACCTTAGGGACACCTGGAATGGGGGAGGTACGCTGTCCACCACCTCAGGGGCACCTGGAATGGGGCAGGTACTCTGTCCACCACCTTAGGGACACCTGGAATGGGGCAGGTACGTCATCCACCACCTTAGGGACCAGCATGCTCCCAGGCTTGAGGGCAGGAACCCAATTCTTCATAACCGAGTGAAATGGTGTGGCCCTGTGACTACACGCGCTTTGCTGTTGATGGTGAATAGGCTCTAGTCAAGCACATTCTTTAACATTTTCCCAATAGCTGCTATAAATATAAAGGACTTTGTTATCTCCAGGGAGGAAGGCTGAGGCCAGGCCAGGGAGTGAGGGAGTTTGGACCCTTAATTAACTTATAAAACATGCAGGTTTAGGGGCTGAACTACTCATTTTCAATCTCCAGTTATCAAAGAGAAAATGGGTTACTGAGTGCAAGAAGGATGCACCGTTCCCTTGAGTATGTGGCCAGATTGGAGATTTGTTGTAATTGGATAATTTAATTCTCTTTGAAATCCCCAAAACCAAAAATCCATAAAGGAGAAAATTCCATCAGTTGTCCTCCTGGGGTGAGTGGTATATTGAAATGAACGGTGTTCAGAGAGCCTGGCCGTAAGGACCTCGCCTCCTTCTGGGCAGGGAGGCTGCGTGGCCACCGGAGGGCGGTGTGGGGCTGGAGCCAGAGTCTGGCTTCTCTTGCCGTTTTGGGAGCTGAAGATCAGGGATCCCCATCCCCTCCAGGCCCTTTCCCCACCCAGCTGGCCCGGCCCCTCCTGGCTGGACTCCTGCCTGGCTGCCATTTGAGGGAACCCTTCCTCTCCAGGCCTTGCTTTCCTCACCTGGGAATGTTGGGGCAAAATCATGCTGGTTTCCTTCTTTATCCTTAACCCTCTTGCACCTTGTGTACATGGGCCGGGCCGGGCCATTGGGCACAGACGCCCCTCCAGAAATCACTGGAGCCTGATGACTCCTGGTCCCCAGAGCTTCTAGCCACCTGCTGAGAGTGGCCCTGGCTCAGTGGCTGATGGGGCCGAGTAGCTGCTTGCAAAGCACCAGGCACCATGGGGTCTCTGGGTTGGCTCTGCTGACTGTGCGCCCTGCTGTGGCAGGGCCGGAGTGCCGAGGAGGAAGGCGGAGGCTGACAGAACACGGAGCCCGCCACAGGCAGCTGGGCCCAGAGCCCCAGGGACATCAGTGTGGTCTGAAAGTTCCCATGTGTAGTGAACAGTGCCAGCTCCTGAGGGTAGTTTGACCTTCAATTCCCAGGAAGTGATGTGCGCACAGGAGATGCCGGCTGTGCCTGGGGTGGGTGAGCAGGAGGGAGGAGGCAGACCTGGGGATGGAGAGTGGGGGTGGCTGAGTGCCGGGCTCAGTCCTGCCTGCCCCTGGGAACCAGAGTGCCCAACAGGCCCCCAGACCCCCGTCCCCTCCAGATTGCTGTCTGTGGGTCTGGGGCTTGTTAGGGCACTGCATGTGGCCCTGCTGTGAGAAAGGAGGAGCTGTGCCCTTGGCCTCTCAGCCCACAGCTCCCTCCCACCCATAGGTGGTCTTCAGGGCCTTTGGTCACCCCCCACCCAGCCTGCCCTCTGCATGTCTGTGCCTATGGGCCATGTGCAGTTCTATCTCCAGGACCTCACCCATCCTAGCTCGGCGTCTGCCCCTGTGGGATATTGCTGAGAGACGGGGTGGGAAGGGGTCTCCAGGACCTCACGTATCCTAGCTCGGCGTCTGCCCCTGTGGGATACTGCTGAGAAACGGGGTGGGAAGGGGTCTCCAGGACCTCACGTATCCTAGCTCGGTGTCTGCCCCTGTGGGGTATTGCTGAGAAACGGGGTGGGAAGGGGCTCTGCCCTCAAGAGGCTCCAAGTCCTGCCTTGCTAGGAGTCCAGACTGCACATGTCAAAGGGTGAGTAACCAAGAGGCCAGATGTGCCAGGCCCGGACGCCCCACAGCTGCACCCGTGGCTGCAAGTGTGAGAGTCCCCATTATGGGGTCCGTGGTGGCCCCGAGCTGGGGGGACCGAAGGCTGACTGGGATGATACATCATCTTTTTAAAAACACCCCAGGATGGATTTGAGGCAGCCGAGAGGTGGACTCAGGTTGACTGGGCTGGGATAGGCAGGATTCTCGCAGTGGCTGTAATAGAGTTATGACAGCTCTGCCCCGCACCACACACCTGCTCGCACTGGGGTCCTGGGCCAGCACTGTGGTGCCCTGATCTGTGGGGGTCTGACAGGGTCAGCTGTCTGCAGGCAGGCGTGTCTCCTCCACTCACCTGCAGTTTGGGAGGGTGTGAGTTAGACGTGGAGTGCAGCGCCTGGCAGGCAGGAAGTTCCTGGCAAATACACATGGGCAAACCAGCTTTCATTCATATCCAATATGATGTTTTGGTAATAAATGACTTCATTGTCACTAGGTTTTCCGATGAGAGCATTTTGAAATACATGCAGGCTCTCAAAGCAGAAATTCTAAATGGGAAAGACCATCACTGTGGGGTCTGCTGTTTCCTTTTATTGCCTAGCATGGCCTTGCTGGCTGCCGGCTGCTCTAGAGCCATCGCGCCAGGCCTGCTGCCACATGCTTGGAGCAGCCACTGGGAAGGCTCTGGCCCCAGGCCTGCTAGCTTGGCCTTCCTGCTTTAGTCTGAGAAACCCTGGCTCCAAACAGCCATCCCCTTTTGTGGGTCACCAGTGAGAAGGGCTCAGGGTGACCACCCAGAGCATGCAGCATCACCTGATGCCCGGCCCTGTGTGGGCATGGGGCATGTGGGGCTGTACCCCATCAGGCTGTGCTGCCTCAGCTGGGTGGAGACACTGCGGCCCTCACAGTTTGGCTGCGGTGTGGTGTGGGGTAGGTATGGTGCAGGTCAGGCGTGGTATGGGTCAGGCATGGTGCGGGGCTGGCGTGGTGCGGGGCAGGTGTGGTGCGGGGCAGGTGTGGTGCGGGGCTGGTGTGGTGCGGGGCTGGTGTGGTGTGGTGTGGGTCAGCTGTGGTGCGGGGCAGGTGTGTGGTGTGGGGCAGTTGTGTGGTGCGGGGCAGGTGTGGTGTGGGTCAGCTGTGGTGCGGGGTGTGGTGTGGGTCAGGTGTGTGGTGCGGGGCAGGTGTGTGGTGTGGGGCAGGTGTGTGGTGCGGGGCAGGTGTGGTGTGGGTCAGCTGTGGTGTGCGGTAGGTGTGGTGTGGGGCAGGTGTGTGGTGCAGGGCAGGTGTGTGGTGTGGGGCAGGTGTTGTGTGGTGTGGGTCAGCTGTGGTGCAGGGCAGGTGTGGTGTTGTGGGTCAGCTGTGGTGCAGGGCAGGTGTGGTGTGGGTCAGCTGTGGTGTGGGGGCAGGTGTGTGGTGTGGGTCAGCTGTGGTGTGGGGCAGGTGTGGTGTGGTGTGCGTCAGCTGTGGTGCGGGGCAGGTGTGGTGTGGTGTGGGTCAGCTGTGGTGCGGGGTAGGTGTGGTGCGGGGCAGGTGTGGTGTGGGTCAGCTGTGGTGCAGGGTAGGTGTGGTGTGGGGCAGGTATGTGGTGCGGGGCAGGTGTGTGGGTCAGCTGTGGTGCGGGGTAGGTGTGGTGTGGGGCAGGTGTTTGGTGCAGGGCAGGTGTGTGGTGCTGGGCAGATGTGGTGCGGGGGAGGTGTGGTGTGGGGTAGGTATGTGGTGCAGGGCAGGTGTGTGGGTCAGCTGTGGTGCGGGGTAGGTGTGGTGTGGGGCAGGTGTTTGGTGCAGGGCAGGTGTGTGGTGCTGGGCAGATGTGGTGCGGGGGAGGTGTGGTGTGGGGTAGGTATGTGGTGCAGGGCAGGTGTGTGGGTCAGCTGTGGTGCGGGGTAGGTGTGGTGTGGGGCAGGTGTTTGGTGTAGGGCAGGTGTGTGGTGCTGGGCAGATGTGGTGTGGGGGAGGTGTGGTGTGGGGCAGGTGTGTGGTGCAGGGCAGGTGTGGTGTGGGTCAGCTGTGGTGTGGGGCAGGTGTGGTGTGGGTCAGCTGTGGTGTGGGGCAGGTGTGGTGTGGGTCAGCTGTGGTGTGGGGCAGGTGTGGTGTGGGGCAGGTGTGGTGTGGGTCAGCTGTGGTGTGGGGCAGGTGTGGTGTGGGGCAGGTGTGGTGTGGGTCAGCTGTGGTGTGGGGCAGGTGTGGTGTGGGTCAGCTGTGGTGTGGGGCAGGTGTGGTGTGGGTCAGCTGTGGTGTGGGGCAGGTGTGGTGTGGGTCAGCTGTGGTGTGGGGCAGGTGTGGTGTGGGTCAGCTGTGGTGTGGGGCAGGTGTGGTGTGGGTCAGCTGTGGTGTGGGGCAGGTGTGGTGTGGGTCAGCTGTGGTGTGGGGCAGGTGTGGTGTGGGTCAGCTGTGGTGTGGGGCAGGTGTGGTGTGGGTCAGCTGTGGTGTGGGGCAGGTGTGGTGTGGGGCAGGTGTGGTGTGGGTCAGCTGTGGTGTGGGTCAGCTGTGGTGTGGGGCAGGTGTGGTGTGGGTCAGCTGTGGTGTGGGGCAGGTGTGGTGTGGGGCAGGTGTGGTGCAGGGCAGGTGTGGTGTGGGTCAGCTGTGGTGCGGGGCAGGTGTGGTGTGGTGTGGTGTGGGTCAGCTGTGGTGTGGGGCAGGTGTGGTGTGGGTCAGCTGTGGTGCGGGGCAGGTGTGGTGTGGGTCAGCTGTGGTGCGGGGCAGGTGTGGTGTGGTGTGGTGTGGGTCAGCTGTGGTGCGGGTAGGTGAGATGGAATTGAATTACGTGGTCCTTTGTGCTAGAGTGCATAGGGCGTGGGAGCATATGGAGCTGAAGTGGACTGTTTCTGCCTGTGTGACAGGTTTGTAATATTTTGCTGTTTTGGGGGAAACCCTGTTTTTCCAGAGAGCCTTTCCCTGGCAGAAGTAGCCAGTGCGCTGGACGCGGAGACCCTGCGGCGGCTGAAGCGGGAGTGTGGGGGGCTGCAGACGCTGCTCCGGAACAGCCACCAGGTGTTCCGAGGTACGGGCCCGCCTCCCCGCCTTTCTCTTGCCTTCCTTTCCCGCTTTTTTCAGGTAAATAACATTTTATTTGAGTGGCTCTGACTTGAAGAAGAATCTGGGAGAGGTCCCGAGTTCTGCGGTGCCCCACCCAGCTCTGATGTGGGTAGCATTTGACCTCGGGGTGGGACATGGGTCACCCCGTTCCCTCCTTGTGCCTTAGGACCTCGTCCTGTGAGACATACCAGGCCAGTCTCCCTCCCACTGTGCCGTGCTTGCTGGCTGGTGCCTCAGCTCCGCTTGCTCAACACGGGACAGAGCAAGGCAGGCAGCCGCGGCTGGGCCGCTCCTGTCACCAGGCCCTCTCTGGGCTGGGTGCCATTGTTTGGCGTCATCTGTAGCTGCTGCACACTGGAAGCATCCAGAGCCGCAGAGCCAGGCTGGGGAGTGGGAAGAGCGAGTCCCTGCCCCACAGTCACAGGCCTGGACTCCTGTGGCCTCGCCCCCCGGGCCCGGGCAGGAAGAGGTCCTGGCGCCCAGCCCTCCTGCTTCGCAACGCCCTGCTGGGGCTTGGGGAGGCAGGAGGGCCCTCCACCTGCTTGTCCATTTGCTCAGCCTGCAAAGCAAGGCACACACAGCCCTCTCCTGCTGGAGCTGGCAGGGCACTGAGGGCGAGGGGAATGTGGCAGGTTCCGCCCAGGTGCTGGGGCGCACAGTTCCATCCGCTGCAGCTTCCAGGTGTGCAGAGAGTGGGGAACAGGGCGGGGAGCTGCAGGTGACCAGCGCCAGTGGCTGGGGAGTTTGCTGTAACTTGCTTTGTGGAGTTTTTTTCCTCTTTGTAAGTATTTTAAAGCAAATTCCAGCTATCACGCTCTTTCACCCCAAGTACTTCCACGCGCATCTTTAAAAATAGTAGGTGTTTTCTTGTGTCACCGCCATGCCCTCAGCACACATTTCTGCCAGTCGTGTTGTGCAGGGAGAGCTGGCCTGGCTCCAGGGTGGGCTCCAGAGGGCTTAATTAGGATATGACACTTGAGCTGGGCCTGGAAGGAAAAGAGGAGTCAGGAACAGGGAACAGCTTTTAGGCAGAGGGAACAGCATGTGCACAGAGCTTGGGTTGGGAGGAGTGAGAGTGGTAGCTGGTGGGGCTACAGCTGCCGTGACCCGGAGAGGGACTGGCTTTCTGATACCGAAGTTACAGTGGGAAGGAGTGCCTGGCTCACACCCTAGCTTCTGGGTCCCCTGCCCATAAGTCACTCGGGCTTCTGTGGGGGTCTGGTACAGGGCAGCATCTGGCTGTGTGTGTATGTGAGACAGCACAGGTGTGCGTGCCATGCCTGGTGTGTACACGAGAGCAAGGGTGTGAGTTTGTGCACACCCACACACAGCCTTTGGGTGCCCACTTGCTCTTGGAGAGCTGCACTTGGCTTTTAGCTGAAGCGGCCTCTCCTGGTGAGAGCTGCTGTTGGGGGGCCCATAGGCGTGATTGGAGCCTGTGTTTCCTGGGGCAGGCGCAGAAGCATGTCCCTGAGGCTGCCTCCGAAGCCGACGCTGGGCCTGCCGTGCCTGCTGGGCTGGGCCTGCAGCCTGGGGTCTGCTTTTCCTTACGGAGGGCTTTAAGCAGTTAGAATCCTTCCCACCTCTGAGGGGCCTCTGGGTTTTTCCCAGCACTTGTTTTTGGTTGACTGCCTGAAATACTGTCTTCTTCACCCGCGATGAATCCGCTCGTCTGTCAGTGCTTTTCTGTGCAAAAAAATAGGGGCACACTGATTTTTGGAAACACTTCTCAGTAGGTGTCCTGGGGATTGTGTTCCAGTCATGTGAAAACTATGCTGTGAAGCTGGGTCCGATTGCTGTATGAGGTTCAGGTTTTGTTTTCAGCTCACGTGGCTAGTCTCAGGAAATGTTGATGAGAGTGAGGAAGTGGAAATGTTTTCAGATGGCTTCAGGTCAGCCAGCCCTGAGCACAACCTGTGAGGACCATGAGGGCCGGCCCTGCCTCTGCCCCACCTCTTCCTGAGTTCATCGAGGCCTGCGGCGGCACGCTCCATCCATACTGGCTGGTGTGGAGCCTGGCACTGTGCTGCTGGATACACGCGGGGCTTCATGTCATCCTGCGCTCGGGGTGGAGCAGGCCTTCCTCCTAGAACATGCAGACATGGCTCGGGGAGGTCCGCGTGCGGCCCACAGTCTCCCAGTGAGTGGAGAGGCCATGCCAACAGCCAGGCCACGTCGCACCCAACAGGCCAATGAGCATCCGAGGACTCTGACCCTGCAGGTCACCCGTTCCTCAGAGCAGCTTGGTGAAGGGAGTGTCTGCTATGGAGAAGCAGTGTTGGAGTGGCGGTTCCTGTGCTGAGCTAGAGTCCCAGGGAACACGCACAGTAGGGAGGGAGGAGGCGGCGGGAACTTGGGACGAGCTTACTGTGGCCCTGTGGTTCCATTTCACAATGAGGAGCACGTTTCCAGAGGGAGGGTCTGTTGGTTGGTGGTCTTTCTAGCTGGCTGGAGCAAGTGCTCCTGGAGGGCCGTCCCATCTGGCGCCTGGCCCCAGGGAGGCTCAGGTGTCAGGAGGGGTGGCTGGCAGCTACCTGCCATGTCCAGGGGTAGACAAGGCAGTGGGTCAGCACTGCTGGGCCAGCCTGGAGCTGGCCTCCATGACACCTGCAGCCCCATCTCTATCATCAGCACTCGCTCCTCAGGCCTTAGAGACCTACAGGTCCTGCTTCCAAAATGTGGCCGGGTGTGGTCTTAAAGCTGCCTGGCGGGGGCCTGCCGCCAGATGGCCCGTCCGTGTTGTGAGGGGGCAGGGGAGGCCCTTCTGGCTCTGAGGGTGGGAGTCTGCACTCAGCCTTTGGCCTCAGTGAGCCCCACCCCATTCTCCTGACAGGTCAGGGCGTCAGGCAGAGGCCCCTCGCTGTTTGGCATCGTGTGCCCCCTGGGGAGTTGGGGTAAGCTCTGGCCCCTGTGGTTCCTCCTGAGCACCCTTCGGGGGTTCCAGGCCCCTCTGTGCTGTGCCAGGACGTGCTGCTGTGGCAGCATCAGCAGAGGTCGTGGAGTGGCCTTAACCGGAACCTTCAGGTTTAGAAACCTCAGCTCTGTTGTTGGGAGGCAGAACAGAGAGGTGGCTGTGGGAGGGCACACAGGGTCAGTCTCCCAGCCAGGCTGTGAGGACAAACCCCCCACGGTGTCCCCAGACACAGCCAGGCGCCACTCTCTGGGCTCATTTCTCTAGTTTCGGGGGAAACTATTTTTAAAACATCAGCCTGTCAAAAGCAGACAGGCTCGTTATTGCCACACACAAGGTGTTTTGAAAGCAGAAGTCATGCTTTGATTCCTGCACTTTCAAGTTCTCGTTGGAAGTCTGAGCCAGACTTCCTCACTGAGGCGCCTTTATCCCCCGCCTCCTATTGCGAGCGGCTTCTGGCTTCCAGGAGGACCAGGAAGGGGGTGGTTGCTTTGGCCACGTTTCACGGGAGTGGTTGGCTTCTCGGAAAGAAACGGCCAAGTGGGAGTGCAGGGGGGAATCTCGCTCGATTTGGGCGGTGGTGTCACGAGACGGCCTGGGGGTGGCCCTCGAGGCCTGGTACCCCGCTGATGAGCAGGCCCACAGCAGCCCTCTCCTGGCCTCACCCCACTCTGATGTCCTTCCAGCTCCCCAGTTTGGAGATCAGCCCTGGCCATTGGGTCCCAGTGGCACTTCCAGAGCGGGCATTTAAACCACTGCACAGGCAGGTCCCTCCTCCTGTTCCTGTCCCAGGGCTCCTTGGCCTCCCCTGACTCCACACTTGCATCTGGAGGGGCTCCAGTTGGGAGACACAGGTAAATCCAGTGCACCGGGATGGCACCAAGGAGCAGAGGCCGCCCTGCACCAGCCCGTCCTGAGACTGCGGGAGGGACCTGCGCCTCGCCCCGCTTGTCTATGGTGCTGAGACCATCCGCAGAGGCCAGGGCTGCCGCGCAGACGTTTTCTCATGTTCCAGCTCTCACACATGGTCCTCAAGTGATCCTTCTCAAATGGTCTGTGGGACCTGCCAGTCGGCCAGAGGGAAGGTCATGGCCTCAATGATGAGGCCACGTGGGACCCAGCTCTGTCCTCTGCCCTCCCCTCTGGCCGGCAGTCGAACAGGGCCAGTCATGGTGCAGTCTGTGCTAGGACACTCGGCTTTGCTGCTTCTCTCCCTAAAATCTCTTCCTGGGTCTGTGCAGGGCCACCGCTCACCTCTGCAGGGCTCCCTTCCCTGGTCCTGCCTGTAGACGCACCCGTACCTCGGTGACTCCCACTGGAGGCAGACCCACTGTGACCAGCAGGAACTCTGGGGTCTGTCCCAGCTGTATCCCTGACCCTCGGCTGGCACCTCCCATGGGTGGGAACTAGACAGATGCTGGTGAGTTACGGAGCTTTCAGGTTAACCTCTCGGTGTGTCTCTTCTCTGTCCCAAACCACAGTGGTGAATGGGCGAGTTCACATCCGTGACTGGAGAGAGGAGACGCCGCGGAAGACAAAGCCGCCAGCAGCGAAGCGGAGACTGCTCTCCGAAGCCTGCAAAACCCGCCTCTGCTGGTTCTTCATGCATCACCCTGACGGCTGTGCTCTGTCCGCGGACTGCTGCCTGTTTGCCCACGGGCCTGCGGAGCTGCGGCTGCCCCAGACCCGGAGGAAGAAGACTCTGTGAGCTGCATCCTGGTCGGGGAGGCCACACCAGGGAGAACTTCGCCAGCAATCCTCAGCGCTGCCGTCTCTGCACTGGCCACGTTTCAGCCCACCTCCTCCCACCTTCTTTAGACCCGCACCTTCCTCCCTCCTCCACGAGACCTTCCTCCCCACAAATACTGCAGCAGTTCTTAGTCCTTCTAGAAAAAAAAATCCTGATTTGTTTCTCTTTTATTTTCATTAAGAGATGGGGTCTCCATCCCTCGCCCAGGCTGGAATGCAGTGGCATGATCACAGCTCACTGCAGCTTCGAACTCCTGGGCTCAAGCCATCCTTCTGCCTCGGCCTGTGAAGTAGCCGGGACCGTAGATGCACGCCACCATGCCTGGCCAACTTTGAAAATGTTGGAGGTGGCGTCTCTCTGTGCTGCCCAGGCTGGCCTTGAACTCCTGGGCTGGAATGAGCCTCTCGCCTCAGCCTCCCACAGAGCTGGCATTCCAGCCGTGAGCCATGGCGTCTGGCCCCTGATGTTTCTGTTTAAAGTTCCTCCCGTGGTTTTATACAAAAAGGCATATGCAATCCACACTGTTGTGCCTTTGGCTCCCTGTGTCCCCTGTGCCTCTCGGTTGGGAGCATCCGCCTGGTTATTTGCATCAGCCTGTGGCATTCCGTGGCGGTGCTGCTTTCATCATTCCTGAGCAGTGATGATCAACAGGCACCTGCTCTGAAGGCACCTCGGCTCTGCGGCACCACAGGGCGGCGCTGCCATGGGCCCTGGAGTTCCCAGTCAGTCCCAGAGCCTAGAGCCCAGGCGAGAGATGTGCCAGGAGGTGCCTTCATTTTACGCAGGAAGGGTCTGCCCTTCATGTTACTGGGAGACTGGCACTCCGTGGCCCCTTGGGGCAGGCCCCAGTTGGTTGAGCAGCTGCAGGTCTGACTAGTTGAGGCACAAGGGGGCTCTGCTGGGGCCTCTGGGGTCCCCCACACTGGGAAGTTCTCCATGCAGGGGTCACCTGGTGCAGAAACCCGGAAGGAGCAGCCAGGAGCTCAGTACTGCGGGTGGTGGAGCAGGGAGATGGGAAGAAGTCTCTTCCCAATGATGTGTCTGGGTCCGAGGGAGTCACAGAGCCGTGTCACTCCCCCAGCCACTGTTAGGCCAGAGGAGGCGTCCTCCTGCCAAGCCATGCCATGGTGTTGAGGTTTTGCTGCTCAGCACACCCAGGGTGACGCACTTGAGGACAAGCCACCTGATGCCCCCAGCCCCACATTGTTGCCAGAGCTCTCCCTGCAGCAGGAAGGGCTGATCCCAACCTCAGAGGGGCTTGGGGTGACATCAAGGGATGGCAGAGCAGGGAATGTAGGGAGCCCGGCCCTGAGGAACAGCCCTGCTATTGCTTCCTGGAAGCGGCGCACTTCCTGAGCTGAGCCCAGGACTCCACCCAAGCCTTGGGGCTGCCCGAGATCTCCCATGCCGGGTATGCAGCCTCTGTCAGGCCCAGGATAGCTCCATGTGACTGAACCCTCCTTTCCCCTCCCCTCCCCAGGCCTCTCCCAAGTCCAGGGCACCTGCTTTAATTTTCCAGTGGCCGCAGAGCCTTCTGTGCTTGGTGCTGCGGGACTCCAAACCTGGCTCTGGAGCTGAGTCCTGGTGAGGGTGGGTGACCCTGGGGAGGATGAGCTCCCCAACACGCCCCAAGGACTCAATCTCAAAGGAGCATCAGATGGGGCTGGGGGCATGTGCAGTGACCTCAGCTCTCCCTCATGGGGTCCTGCCGGGCCAAGAGCTCTACTGAGTGGGGCCCACCGTGCCCGTAGACCCCTCCATGCTACCTGGCATCCTCATGTGGCAGAAGCAGTCTTTGTTGAGCACATCACCTGACCTGACTTCTGGGTTCCAGGTACCATTTCTTACTGCCTCCCTGGCACCACTGTGCCCTGTCCACTGGTCATGTGACTGGGTGTCAGGCACAATCTCCTTGCAGCAATAAACAATGATCTGTGGGCGAAGGTGGGCAGATAAGAGGCCTGGCAGGGGGCGCAGGTCTGGCAGCCTGGTGTGGCCAGCCTAGAGGGCTTCCTGGTGACTCCTAGGAGCTTGAGTGTCTCCCCTGGACGGGTGAGATTGAGGGAATGCCACGAAAGTGGGCATGAGGGGCAATCTCGCCAGGGGCACTGCATCTGCACTGCCTGTCCAGACAGGTGCCAGGCAGGCACCAGGTCTCACTGGCTGGGGGGCAGCCTCTGTCCCCAGGCACCCTGGCTTGCCCCATCTGCTGCAGAGGAGGCCTGTGGTGAGCCTTGTGTTCTTGGGACCTGTGTGACTGCAGCACCTTGGACTGGTGCTGGGGTTCAGACCCCAGGTCTCACAGGCCTTGGCTCATGGCATGGCCAAACCCTGAGGTCTGTCGGGGTTGTCAGGGCAGGCTTCCTGGAGGAGGGGCTGCGGTTGCGCATTTTCCCTCTCATCCTGCCACCCACTAGGGCTACTCTCCAGGGCCACAACTGTCACAGAACGAGGAATCCGGACCTCGACAGAACAGCCTGGTGTGGACGAGAGTCCCAGGGGAGAGGCCAAGACCTCTGCTGACTTGCCCCCAGCTCATTTCTGTGTGACCCTCCCTTTCTGGTGTTTTTGCTCAGAAGACTGTGTTGTGGACCTCACGGTTCTGGGAAAAGGTGGTTCACAGGCAGGTCCGGTCACATGTCACTGGATAGTGCAGATGCATTCTGAGAAACTCGTGGTGAGGTGATTCTGCCATCCTACATCAGAGTATACCCCGCGCTCCCAAAAGACAGCCTGCTGCATACCCAGGCTCCCGGACCCCATGCCCCATGGCACGCTGCTGTGCTGAGTGCTGTGGGCAGCTGTCACGAGACGTAAGTGTCTGTGTACCCAAACATAGAAAAGGTACGGTGAAAATACTGTGTAAAAGATAAAGCATGCTTCGGCTGTGGAGGGCACTCACCCTGAGGGGAGCCTGTGGACTAGACGGGGCTGTGGGTGTCGGGGAGGGAGTGGGGGTGCACGGAACCCTGCTGCAGACTTGATGAACAGCACACCCAGGCCACACTCTGTTTATTTAAAACAAAATGTCCTCAGTGACACATTAACCTGAGCATCAATTTGTAACTTTTTAATTTTATGAACTTTAAAAGCATTTTTTGACACTTTTGTAATAACACTAAGCTTAAAACACAAACACATCGTACAGCTACACAAAGATATTTTTCCTTTTTTTTTTTTTGTTTTTAATTTTGTGTTTTTGAGAAGGGGTCTTGTTGTATCACCCAGGCTGGAGTGCAGTGACGCCACCTGGGATCATTGTAGCCTCAGCCTCCTGGGCTCAGTTGATTTCCCACCTCAGTCCCCCAAGTAGCTGGGATCACAGGCATGCACCACTGCATGCTGCCTAGACTGGCCTTGAACTACACTCAAGTGAGCTTCCTGCTGGGGTGGTGAGTATCGGAGTTGCCAGTGGGAAATCCACATGGGTCTGCAGCAACCTTAACTTGCCTCCTTGGAAGAAAGAATTCAACTGAGGGGTGTAAGAGAAAAAGGAGCCTGGGGCAAGTCTCAGAGCAGGAGTGGAAGTGTATTAACAAGCTTTAGAGCAGGAAAGAAAAGAAAGTAATGTTAAAACATGAGCTCTGAATGAAGAGACCCCCCCGAACAGGCTTTGTGTGAGCAACATGGCTGTTTAGTCACCTGGGTGAGGGCGGGCTGAGTCCAAAAAGGGAGTCAGTGGAGGGCGGTGGGATAGGGGTTGGTTTTAAAGGTTTGGGGAGGGCAGTGGAAAGTTACAGAAGTTACAGTTTAGGGTGGATTCTTCAAGCTGGGAGGGGTGGTCATAGGGTCTGGAGTCACAAGGTTGACCAAGGTCAGTTACAAAGTCCAATTGCCTTGTCAATTGCGGTGGGAACAAGGAAAGTTAATTAGGCGCCGCAGGGGTTGGTCATTTCTTCTCTTGTGGTTTTCCAGTTACTTCAGACTTTCTAGTTCCGGGAAGCCATCCAGAGGTGTACGTGCAGGTCACGGGGGTCGCCATGGTGTCCTTGGCACCGTCAGCCTAAAAGACCTTACAGGACACTTGGAAGAGACTCAAGTAGGCACTTTGGAGGTCAAGGGCAGCATTTGACCTTTTGACTTGGGGTTTTATATGCTGGCGTGCTTCCAGGGCTTTGTGTCCCTTTTCCCGTGACTCTTTGCCCAGGGCAGGCTGCTGCATGCACAGTGCCCTCCTTGCACTTGGGACGTGAGCATCTGCAGCGCAGGGCGATGAAGAGGTTGTACGAATGTTCACCTGAGGCTTCATCCCTTGTCCGGTGGGATGCCCCCAGGAAGTCAGGCTCTGCCGTTTTATCTCTTAATGCGCAGGCTCCAGCCCACTCACCCAATTCCTGAGATTTTATTGAAAGCTGCTGATTACCAGTTTCAAGTGTCTTTACCTATTGGAAATTGCCTCTCCCTGGTGCCTGCCACCAATGATCATTGATAGAGAGGCAGTGCGACAACTGTGCGACCATCACCTTGAGAACTAAACTCTTGATTTTTTTAAAATCTTGCTCAAATTCCTATCTAAGGGGTTTGGGGAGTCATGCCCTACAAATCATAAATTCTCATATGGGTTTTATTTAACCCTGTATATCATGACTGACTTTCCAACCCGACTCTGGCATGACATTACAAGTCAATGAAGAAAAATCAAAGCATTTTACCTCCAAACGTGCTTCTTTGCCTTAATTTGAAATGGCTCTGCAAAGCTGTTCTTTGTGGGGGGAAATTTGCATCTGTAAAGAATCTATTAACTAACGATCTTTTTCTTCCAGACAGACCCTCCCAATTCTAAAGAGATTGACTAGGATCTGAATAGGAAACATTTGTCATCTGTTGTCCCTGAGGGAAGACACTTAGACTTCAAAGAACTTTGGTCTCCACAATCTTTACCTTAGCCTGAATATACCCTGTCAATCCCAGGTCTTCAGACAAACTCAACCAATTGTCAACCAGAAAATGTTTAAATTCACCAATAGCCTGGAAGCTCCTCCCCGCTGCCTCCACCTTTGAGTTGTCCCACCTTTCTGGACCAAACCAATGTATTTTAAAAATATATTTGATTGATGTCTCATGCCTCTCTAAAATGTATAAACCAAGCTACACACCAACCACCCTTTTGGGCACATGTTCTCAGGCCCTCCTAGGACTGTGTCACAGGCCGTGGTCACTAATATTTGGCTCAGAATAAATCTCTTCAAATATTTTACAGAAAACAAAACCAGTGTTTTATAGAGTTCAACACTCTTCATCGACAACCCCGGTCACTCAGCTGGCGCTCCTGGTGGGCTGGGGTAGCCCTCCCCCATCCTCTCCTGCCTGACTGCCTACCTACTGTGTCACTCCTGCCTCAGCCTCCCAGAGTTCTGGGGATTACAGGTAAATATGCTTTATAGTATGGCAGCTTTTCTCTTTAATTTTTTTTTTTTTAACTTTTAAACTTTTTTGTTAAGAATGAAAACAGAAACACATTAGCCTAGGCCTGCACAGGGTCCAGACGGTCAGTATCACTGTCTCCTGCCTCCTCATCTTGTCCTATCAGAAGGTCTTCGGGGGACAGTAGTGCACCTAGAGCTCTCACCACCTCTGCTAACAGGGCGGCCTTCCCAATCCCTCCTGAACGCCCTGCCTGAGGTGTCACTTTTCAGAAACGTGGCCGTGGCAACGTGCTTGTGCTTGTAAGCAGATAAGGCACCGTGAACATTCCTCTCTCTGAATGAACCTTCCACGTTGAGGTCTGCGCTTCCGCCTTTTAAGGGGCTTGTGGAGGTCTGCGAGCTTCTGCTGAACCCTTCACTGTAGATTTTCTTGGGGCGCATCCTGCGTTTCTGCAGCTGCCTTTTCTCTCCCCTCTTCTTCCTGTTCAATGGCTCCTCACTTGTCAGTTCTTCAGGAACCCCCTTGAGGCGCTCCTCAACGCCATCCTCCTCCACCCCAGGCTGGAGTTTTGTGCCGTCCTAGCCACAGCCTTGCTGAGTGTTGCCACCTCCTCATCCTGGGCAAATCCTGTGCAGTCCTGGGTGAACCCCATGTGAGTCTTCCTCCAGATGCCATTCACGCACGCTGTTAAAACACGTGCGCTCTGGAGGAAGAGACCGGCCAGACAGGCTCCGTGGGAGCAACATAGCTGTTCATTTGCTCGGGTGCGGGCGGGCTGAGTCCAAAAAGAGAGTCAGCGTGGGGCAGAGGGAGAGGAGTTGCCTTAATAGGTTTGGGGTAGGCAGTGGAAAGTTACGGACGTTACGCTTTAGGACAGTTTTTTGCAAGCTGGGTCAGGGTCGTAGGTTTGCAAGCTGGGAGGGGGTTGTAGCGTCTGAAGTCAGGAGGTTGACCAAGGTCGGTTACAAAGTCCAGTGGCTTTGTCCCTTGAGGGTCGAATAAGAAACAGTAGAAGAATGTCTCAGGTTAGTTAGGCGCAGGGGTCGATCGCTCTTCTGTTTCTGATGACCTTCCAGCTACTTCAGATTTCCTAATTCCTGGAGGCCCTCCAGAGGCATATGTGCACGCCACGGCGCCGTCAGGCAGCCTAAAACACCTTATACACACCTTGGCAAGCCCGGCTTAGGACGTCACCCCCAGCTCAAGCAAGGTTTCTGCCGCAGCCCGAGATGCCATCCTTCCGCAGTGGCATCCCTGCCTTCTCGGTAGACTCCTCAGCTGAAGCTGTAGCCTGGGCAGAGGGCCTCCTCAGCCAGCGGGCCTTAAAAGCTGCTGAGAGTGCTTGGTCCGTCGGTTGGGTGAAGAGTGGTGCTTGGAGGGAAACCACTGTGACACGATGAAAATCCCCAGGAAGAGGAGGCTGTGTGGGAGCGTCACCACCACCAAGCAGGACCCTACAGGGAACTGTGTTATTCGGCAACTCAGGAGGGCCTCTTGGAAGAGGAGTGGGTCATCCCTGACTGCCTTGGCCCTGCGGTGCCCTGGCCGTCGTGCTCACTGTTGCACTGGAGGGCCCTGGGTCCTCACCACGCAGGATCACACTCACAGCAGCGTGGTCACCAGGCAAGGCTGTTACTCCGCCCTTTAAAGCCTTGAAACCTGGCACTGACTTGGCCCCCTTATGCATGAAAGGGAAACACCTAGGCAAAAATGATGTCAGCGAGAAAGCGACGACAGTGAAAGAGACCTGAGCTAACCCACTCTCATCTCACCTTTCCCTGAACTATTCCTGGGCTGCATGGCTGGGCTAACTTTGAAAGTAAGTCAGGCTGTGGTTTAAATGAAAATAGGCCGTGCCCCAAACTCAGCTGCTTTTGTGAAGCTAACGGGAGGCTCTCAGGCTGGCGAGGACAGCGCCCTGCTAAGGCGCAGACAGGAACTATTGCCAGCCTTTCTACCGGAGTTTATAAGATGTGCAGCTTCCCCAGTTGCACCTGCAAACAGCATCACTGTCACCCCGAGACTGGCCTCTTGAGATCTCTTTCCAGGTTTTCTGCGTGTCTGACACCTGTGGTTCCACTTGGACCTCTCAACCCCTGCTCCTGTGGCCCCACAGAGGCAGTTCAGCCCACAGGACAGCTCCTCCTGTCATCCTGGGAATGATTTGAGTAGCGACTCAGTCTCCCACGTAGTGTGGCCGGCCTTGTGACTGTTAAACTATTTCTCCATAGAAATGTCACGGTCTTTCTTTGTGCAGTGGACAGGAAAAACCCCTTGGGCAGTTACCAAAGTCCTTTCAGGCCTCTGTTTCCAGAGTAGGGAGGGTTCCTCCATGCTGAAGCTGTGCCGTGGCAAGTGAATCTCCCACATAATCGAGTTTCCAGAACTGTCTTCAGCCGCCTGCACGCCAGCACCCACAGACTCAGCACTCGCGTCCACATTCGGTAATACATAGCAGTCCTCGAATCACGTACACCACCGGAACTAGCAGTAAATCTGACACCAGAGTCGGGTCCAGCCTTTCCTTTCTTTTTCTTATTTATTTTTTTAAGATGGGATTTCACCATGTTGGTCCAGCTGGTCTCAAACTCCTGACCAGGTGATCTGCCCGCCTTGGCCTCCCAAAGTGCTGGGATTACAGGCGTGAGCCACCATGCCCGGCCCAGCCTTTCCTTTCAACATTGAAAACAAACTTTTTGCTCTGGCTGTGCCTGCCACGGTGCTGAGACCGCCTCTGCAAAAATGGTAACAGAAAATTACGGCGGTGCAAGAGACAGTGAACCTAACTGACTCCATCTTGCTTCTGACCTCCAAGCTGCCCTTGTTCACTCCCGGGTGCAGGCTCAACCAACTTTGGGAGGAACTTAGTTTATAGTGTGAAAGGAAAATAAGTCTTGGCCCCCAAAAGCACTAAGCTAAAGAGAAAAGCCAAGCTGGGAACTGCTGAAGGCCAACCTGCCCCCCGTTCTATTCCTGAAAAACATGGCTACTAGGATTAGAAAGCTGCATACCTCCCTCACAGCATTTCCTGGAATCTCTTCCCCACTGCAGAGGTCTCAATGAAGCCAGTCTTGCCAACTTTCACGAGTGTCTGGTGGGCACTGTTTTTTTTTTTTTTTCTGAGGCAGAGTCTCACTCTGTCGCCCAGCCTGGAGTGCAGTGGTGTGACCTTGACTTACTCCATCCCCTGCCTCCCGGGTTCAAGCAATTACTGTGCCTCCTCCTCCCAAGGAGCTGGGATTACAGGCATGCACCAACACGCCTAGCTAAATTGTTTTTGTATTTTTAGTAGAGACAGGGTTTCACCATGTTGTCCAGGCTGGTCTTGAGCTCCTGGCCTCGGTGATCTGCCTGCCTCAGCCTCCCAAAGTGCTGGGACCCCTCCCCATGCTATAGCACCCACAGATTGAGCCACTTTCCCAGTGTGGGGGTGAGGGAGCTCTGCCCTGGGCCAGAAACCCAGACGCAGCGCTGCCAGGCCCCCAGCCGAGGGGCAGGTGGCTGTGCCACCATTCAGTGGATGTGACTGAGTGCCTACTGCGTGTCTGGCAAGTCCATCTGCTGGGATAGAGTGATGGCAGAGGTGATGGTTTCTGCATGCACAGGCAGGGAGGTGGTCTGTGGCGGGGCTGGCAGGGGGTCTGGGGGTGCACCTGCTCCACCTGGGGCTGTGGGGCAGGGGAGTCCCTCTCCACTGGCCCCTGCAGTTTGAAGTCTGGGAGATGGTGTGTAGGGAGCTGCTGTTAACAGCAGCGTGAGCTCTGGGACTGGATGTCCTGGGTTCATATTCCAGCTCTGCCTCTTAAGATGCAGCCTTAGGGAAGTCACCAACTTCCTGTGCCTCAGTTTCCTCCTGGGGAAAATGGGGATGATGGTAATCTTGGCAGAGGATTGGTGAGAAGGCTGAGCACATTTAGAGCCTAACAGCTTCAGCGGGCACTTGGCCGCTGTGGGAACTCGGCGAGGGTGAGCAGTCTCCACAGGGGCCTTCTCAGCAGGCTTCATAGGACGGGATGACGTTCCTGTGCCATTTGAGATGGTTTTGGACCCTTCCTCCTCTCCCTCTTTGCCCCCTTCCCTCTTCCTTTCCCCTTCTTCCCTTTTTCCTTTTTATGGGGAGCCAGCTGGCAGGTGCTCACTTGGGGCCCTCAGCACCTGGAGTCTCACGGGCTCGGCTGCCATTGGTTGTGAGCTTAGGCAGCCCCCGCCCCTCCTGGGCCCCAGCCTCTCCATCCATAAAACCAGAAGGCTGCCTGGAAGGTTCCAGAAGCTGCTCTCGGCCCTGACCCCTGCCCACACCTGTCTGTTGAGGAGACTGGTGCCACTCTGTGGACAGCTGGTGTCCCGCCTCTTCCCGGGTCTTGGGGAAGTTACCCCTCTCCCGGGAGGAGACACACTACTGGTCCTCTGAGCAGCAGCTGAATTTTACAGAAGGGCTGTTGATGGTTTTGTTCAAAGAGGGAGAATCAGTTTGGTTCTGTGAGTCGTAACCTGCCATTCTCCAGGATGGTTCTGACCCATAAAATGAGGGCTCCTGTAAATGTCAACCCTGAAGGTTAATGGGTGCGTTTTCAGAACACTGTGCCAGGAACGACTCCAGAGGCTGCCCTGAGCGCATTCATGGGAATGGTCCTGGGGACAGGCAGCGCCTGGAATAGGCACTCCCCTGCCTGCCTCCTGTTACTGTTTGTCATCCACATCTGCAAGCTTCTGATGGATCAGGGGTCAGGTGGACGGAGAGGAAGCTTCTGAATATTTCTAATCCTCAGCTGCGTAGGAAACCACAATGAACTTAGTGGTAACAAGGACACATATTTATCTCACGATGCAGTAGGTCTGAAGTGTGAGTGCAGCTTAGCAGGGTCCCCCGCTCAGGGTCACACCAGGCTGCAATCACGGTGCCGCCAGGGCGGTGGTCTCAGCCTAGGCTCCGCTGGGGCAGACTGTGCATCCACACTCACCAGGATGTTTGCAGTATTCAATCCCTTGCTAGCTGTTGACCAGACTTTTTGTGCCTCGGTTTCCTCCTTGGCAAAATGGGTTGATTTTTCCTGAACACAGGGCCCTCTCCCAGGGCCAGCTCACACACGGCAGCACGACCAGTTACAATCTTATGCAGTGCTGTGATGGAAGCCATGCCATTGCCTTGCTGGGCTCTGCTGATCAGACGCAGGTCCCAGGTCCCAGGTCCTGCTCACGCTCAGGGGAGATTAATCAAAGGTGTCAGCGCCTGGAGGTGGGGAACGTGGGCCACTACAGGGTCTGTCCTCCACTCTGGATTGGCCCAAGACCACTTCTTCTTCGCCCTTGAACACACAACACACACAGAGGCACAAGCAGACTCAGCGCAGGCTTGAATACCACCAGGATGAGGTCATGTCAGACAAGAGGGGGCGTCTCCCACCCCTTCCACATGAGAGGCAGAGGCTAGCATCTGTTTTCTGGCTGTGGCCCTGGGCCGTCCTCCCACTGGGTCTCTGCTTCCTCATCTGTAGGCGGAGGAACTTGGACTTGGCAGGTTCCTGGACAATTCTCTGCCAAAGCCCATCCCCTTCCCCAGGCCACAGGCACCGCATTTAGGGGGTGTTCTCCCACACAACCCTCTGTACACACACACTTGAGGGTCTACTCTGTTCACCTCACAAGGCCACCTACCCCCCTATGGCCCCAAGAGGGGTGGCACTCTATCCTGGCAGACCCTAGGCCATGGCTGCAGCAATCAGACCAGCTTGAGCATCGGCCAGTGAAGGTGGGAAGCAGCCTAAAGCCACAGAATCGTCCACGTGGGACTCTGGACCTAGGTGCGGAGGGCACTGAGCTGACAGGGTGTGCAGCACCGCATGCCCACCAGCAAGGGACAGAGCACCCAGTCCCAGAGGGGGCCTCTGTCACAGCCCCGGCCTGTAGGATGGAGATCTCAGGTGGCCTCGAGGATGGAGGGCTGGGTGGAGCTGCCAGGCCACACACCTCAGAGAACCCAGCACGGAGTCAGCGCCCAGTCAGGTGCAGGGAACTTTCCACCCCGATGCCCACACAGGGGTCCTGCCACCAACAGGGGTTAGGTGGACACAGGCTTCTCTCAGGAACAGAATTCCCCTCCAGGAAGAATCTGCTTCTCACCTGTCATGGGCTGAGTTTTGTCCCCTCAAATCCGTGTGCACCCAGAACTTCAAAATGTGACCAGATTTGGAGCAGGGTCTCTGCAGACACAATCAGGATGAGATGACATGATACTGGGTTGGAGTGGCCCTAAATCAGATGACAGTGACATTATGAGGAGTGGACACACCCACACGCGGGAAGAGCCCGTGAAGATGGAGGCAGGGGTTGGGCTGTGGCACAAGCTGAGGAGCACTGAGGCTGGCCAGCAGTGCCCGGGCATGGGAAGGGCCAGGAGGATGCTCCCCAGGGTCTCCCTCTGCAGCGGGGCCCGCCGACACCGGGTGTTAGGCTCTGGTCTCCAGGACTGGGAGACAGTAAATACCTGTGGTGTGAGGCCCCTTCATTTGTGATACTTTCTAACAGCAAGCTCGTTGCATGATTAGGAGCCGAATACATCCCCAATTAGAAGTGGAGTTTTGTGTTTCCAAAGCTCCCTCCTGTCCTCACATCCCCACAGCAGGAGGGGTGACGGTGGGGATGGCTGTTCAGAAGCAGAGCCCGTTACTGTTGTCTGTGGTGCTGGCATGGCGGAAGGGGAACTGCCAAAGCGGCGGCCTCTTAGGAAGGCTTCTCTTACAGCCTGGCCTGCCTGCCCCGCTGGGGTCCCATCGACCCAGCACTGCTACACTGTGGCTAGACCCAGCAGAGGCTCTGGCGATCGATCAGGTTGGGCACAGGGCAACGCCCTGGGCTTCCCTCTGGCCGTGTCACTGGGGGATTGGAGGCCAGGAGCTCCCAGTTCCATGGGGCCCGCCAACCCAGCTACCCCTGGTTCCTGGGCGTTCTCTGCCCCTGTAACTCCCAAGCCCGAGGCCCAAAACCCAGGCCTCTCCTCCCTGTTATAAATTCAAGGCCACTTCCCAGGCCTCACCTTAGTTGACTTCCACAGCACTTACTGGGGGCCCCTTGGGCTTCCTGAGGCTTCCAGAAGCTTCCTCTAGTCTCTTTGGCCTGGGCCCCGGCTCCTGGTTCCCTCCTGTGTCCCAGAATCTCTGGCTGTTCTTTGGTGCCCTGGCTGCTTCTCCACCCTCCTAAATGTCGAGGTTCTGGGAGGCTCTGAGCCCCTCTTGTTCTTACCCTCCTGGCTAGCTTTGTCTCCAGCAAGCCTCACACGCAGCTCCGTGCCAAGGCTTGCAAACCTCAGCTTGTCCTGGCCTCGCTCCCGAGCTGCAGGACAGGGCATCTTCCCCTGGCTCCCGAGCCCCCAGCGCCCTCTGCAGCCCCGCACCCACCCACGCCTGCTCTCTCTTGCTTCGCCTCCAGCCTCTGCGCCTGTGAGTGATTTCCTGTGCCCAGTACACTACTTCCCTGGCACCCAGCCCTTGCCCAGGGCCTGCTTTCCTCGCTGGCTCCTGAGTTGGTGGGCATCTTGGTGGTGGCTGCTGGGCAGGTCTCAGGGTGGGGCAGGGACTGCATCACGGGTCTGCACTGCATGGAATTGACATGGCATGGTGCAAGCCCCTCAGCCTGGCATTCAGTGCTGTTTCCATGCAGCTCATGCCCCCACCTCCTAGGCTTTCCCCATGGCCCACCTGAGTCTCTTGCAGCTCCTGCAGGGCTGAGCGATGGCCCCCATTCACTGAGGCAGTGAGTCTTCTCTGCCGGGGCTTGCTCCTTTTCCCGCTAGGTCCCTGCCCAGCTTTACTGCCTTCCCTCTTCCTCCTAGGGATGGGCTGCTGCCCTCCTCCCCTGGAGCTGGCATAGCTCCAGCCTCTCAGCCGGCAGCTCCTGCCCCACCCACTCATGTCCCGACCTGGGCTCCATGCTGACCCCTAGCGTGCACGGAGGTCCTGCCATTCCTTGGGTGTGGACCTATGCTGAGTCAGCATTCACCTGCACTAGCTCACCCCATCCACTTGGGAGGAAGGCCCCATCATCCTCCCTGTGGGGAAGAGGGCCTGACGCTTGGCAGAGCTCTTCTGGGTCTCAAGGGTCTGCTCCAAATCCTTGCTCCTGCCCCTGCCACACTCCATGCAACCTGGCCACACCTGCAATCTGCACTCTGAGGTGGCAGCCCTGCCCTGCTGGTGCCAGCCCCTCTGCCTCACCACCCCAGTCCCTGAGCTCCCTGGGGCTGGGCACCACTTCTCTGGATTCTAAATCGGCCCCCGCAGGGTACCCGTTCCTGCATCCACTGCTTCGCCCAGCCTCCTGATCTGGGTCCTGCTGATTCTGGTCATGACTCTTCTGCTCAACCCACCCTCCCCTTCATGCTGCCCCAGATGCAGAGGAATGCCTCCTCTATGTCCCACTCCCTCCACCCATGACAGCTGATATGTCCTCTCTCCTGGCTGCATGAGCTCTCAGGAAGAGGCAGTGCTACACTGAGGGCCCAGGAAGCCTCTCTAGGTCCCTGTCCCCCACCTTCCAAAGGAGGGCTAGGACAGAGGTCGCAGAAATCGTGGCTGGAACAGACTTCTGACCCGGCACTACTCTGGCTGTACCCCTCAGACTTGCATCTTCCATCTTCGAACAGGAGCCTGCAGCCCCTGAGAAGGTGGCATCTGCCTGTGGGAAGTCACATGCACTGAGGCTGATGCAGGTGCTCCAGGCTCAAGGGTGCAGGAGGAGCCTCCCGCCCTGGGAGGCCAGAGCTCAGCCCCAGCTCTGCCACACTGACCTCCCGGCACTTCTGCGACCTAGGCATCTTCGTCTGTAAGACGTGGGGTGGATGGAGAGCCGCAGGGGTCCCCTGTGGCCCTGAACAGGCAGCTGGTGTGGGGGGCACAGTTCATGCCCTGGCAGGGGAGGGGAGCAGCAAATGTGCACCAGCTGCACTGTTTTCTGCCTGCACAACCCCAAGAGATGGGTGTCCTCACTCACCTGATCATTCAGATGAGGAAGCAGAGACAGGCTGAGACACTTGCCCAAGGCCGCTGGTATGGCTGGGCTCTGTGTTCCCACCCAGATCTCATCTTGAACAGTAATCTCCAGGTGTGGAGGGAGAGACCTGGTGGGAGGTGACTGGATTGTGGGGCGGTTCCCCCAAGTTGTTCCGGTGATAGTGAGGGAGTTCTCATGAGATCTGATGGTTCTGTCAGGGGCTCTTCCTCGTCCTCACTTCTCTCTCCCGCCGCCATGTGAGACATGCCTGCTTCCCCTTCCACCATAGGCCTCCGCAGCCATGCAGAATGGAGTCAATTAAACCTCTTTCGTTTATACATTACCTAGTCTTGGGTATTTCCTTGTAGCAGTGTGAGAATGGAAGAATACACACAGCAAGCCACAGCACCAGAGTTGGGGACCAGGGCAGTGTGGCTCCAAGTATGTGCTCCTGATGAGGACACGGGACACCAGCTAGAGAAGGGGCTCTCCCTGCTTTCATGGGACATTCACAAGGAGACCTGGTGCTCAGTGCCACATCTGGGGGCCTCCCTGTGACCAGGGCCCGTGGGCGTCACAAGCTCCTGAGGGGCTGTGCCCTGCTGGGCGTATGGGCTGCGGAAATACTTTCAACAGAAGCGTAGCAGAAGGGATTTCTCCCAAACCCTCTGCTACCCAGAAAACCGTGTGGACTGGAATTCTGCATTTTTCTAACAGTCTGTTTAGCCAGACCCTGACTCCACCAAAAACAAGCCCTCAGCCGACTGCTGGGGTGGGAGGTGATGACTGTCCTTCCAGCCCGGGCACCGCCCCACGCTCAGTGCCGATTTGACCTCACTTAACCTTTGCTGCTGGGCTCTGCCACATCCCAGGGTCCCTGTGTGACCCGGGCAGGCGCCTCCCCCCTCAGCCTGGGGTCCTCTCCAGCCGGGAGGGGATGGCCCTTCCCCAGGGGAGGTTGCCAAGTGCTGTGTGTGCACTTCCTCCGTGGAATTCTCACCTCCCGGGCCAGGCCCTGGGTGGGAGGAGGCTGCTGGCCCCACGTGGCCTCCCCCGCTGGAGGCTCTGCCAGAACCCACGTCTGCAGTGCTTGGAGCCATTTCTTGGCACAAATATAAAACACAACTCCACTCTCTCGTGCTCCAAATGAGAAATGCTGCTTGGGGAGCTGGGCTGGCCTGTCCGCCGGCCCTCGGTCAGCCGCCTGCCACAGGGGGGCTACGGGAACCTCATAGCAGAGCTTCCCACAGGAAGCACGGGTGGGATTGCCAGCAGACCGGCCTGGGATGGAGCTTCCCCACTGGAACAGAGCTGGCTGTGGACAGGGAGTCAGCTGCCACCTGGGGGGACGAGGAGGCCTGTGGCCGAAGCAGGTTGCTGCCTGGCCTGGGCCTGGAGGCCAGCAAGTGCCTCCCAGGGTTCCCCAGCTCTGAGCCCCCACAGCTGGATGGAGCTGTGCTCCCCGCAGAAGTGTGGCCAGCGCCGGGCAGGCACTGGGGGTCTTTCCCTCCACCTCAGTCCTTGCCTACATGGGCACAGCAGAGGGCCTGCTCACACCATGGGAGCCCCTGACCGGGCAGCACCAGGCTGTGTCCCCACTCGGAAAGTGAACAAAGAGGGACACATCCATTTGAGGGGCTGCCTGATAGTTTAGAAGCCCGGAATCTCCTGAAGTGAATTATCCTGCGGAGTAACAGCGTCTGCAGAAGGATGCGGCTGATAACCCCGGGAGGGGCGACTGCGAGCCCAAATACTTCCGTCCTCCGCCGGGGCCCCCTGAGCTCAGGGTGCATCCTCGAGACCACCCTGCCTCCTTCCCCTTTCTTTCCCCTTTCCCTCCTGGCCTTTCTCCTCTTTCTCCTTCTTTCTGTTTCCTTCTTTCCTGGCTGAAGCCAGAATTCGTTTCTGCTGCTTGCTTTAGAAAAGGGTTGACACAGGCAAGCTTGCTGGGACCCTGGGTCCTGCCCCTGGCCACCTGGAGGCAGGGCTGCTGTCCGTGTACAGACAGGAGTCCAGGCAAAGCCTGAGAACACTGTGCGTTCTGGCCTCAGCTCCTTCACCCGCCCCATCTCCGGGTGACTGATGGATCTGGCAGGAGGAAGAGCCTTGAGCCCGGAAAGCCCAGGCCCCCAGGAAGCTTCGGTGTGGCCTCACATCTGGCAGGCTTTTTTTTTTTTTTTTTTCCTTGAGGTGGAGTTTTGCTCTTGTCGAGAGACTGGAGTGCAAAGGTGCAATATCGGCCCACTCCAACCTCCGTCTCCTGGGTTCAAGTGATTCTCCTGCCTCGGCCTCCCGAGTAGCTGGAATTACAGGTGCCCGCCACCATACCCAGCTAATTTTTGTGTTTTTAGAGAGATGGGGTTTCACCATGTTGGCCAGGCTGGGCTCAAACTCTTGACCTCAGGTGATCTGCATGCCTCGGCCTCCCAGAATACTGGGATTACAGGTGTGAGCCACCACACCTGGCCTCACATCTGGCAGGTTTTGTAGCTCAGGTTTCGTGTGGGGTCCCGAGGCAGCCCCTGGGCAGTTTCCTGTGGCTGTGGGAGGGTAAGGAGGGGCTTTAGGGACGAGATCTTGTTATTAGAAGGGACTGCGGCTGGAGCTTGACCTGCTGGGGCCCTGCGGGTGGCTCTGGGTACCATGGGTTGTGTCTGCTGTGTGGATTATATCTTGGGCCTGGGGAGCCCACAGGAGTCTCCAGGCCCCCTCCCACGTGACCCCCAGCCAGGCCTAGCCACCTGGCCCCCTCTGCTGGGCTGCGGAGTTGAACCTGAAGGCTGCTCGGAGTCACTGCTCAGACATTCAGGAATGTCTGTGGGACTGGATGGAAGGGACCCAGTCCTCAGCCCTCGTGGCCGGGGTCTGGCTGACCAACTGTGGCCATAAGGTTTCGGTGACTCGGTCTGTAGGTCCCCCGGGAATGTGAGGGGCTGGCCACGTGCACCTCCCATGAGCCCACAAACAACCCTGTGTTTGCTGCTAGATCCCAAGGCTTTGGTCTGTTGGGTTTGGGGCCCCTTCCCTTCCTTTACAGCTGCTCACCTGTAGAGTGAGTAACCCCTGTCCGAGCATTCCCCCATCCTCTGTGCCCTTGTCTGCCCTCCTCCTCCTCCTCCTGCTCCCACCACCTACTTTGGGGCCCCTTTCTCTTCTTTGCCATGCCACTGGCCAGCCTAGCCTCACGCACCATCCCAGCCACTGCCCTGGAGGGCTGGCAGCTGGCAGGACCTGGAGAGGGCCCAGCCATCACCCTTCTCTTGAAGGTGACAGATAACACTGGGGTTACTATGGAAAATGGAAAATGGGACCCAGATGCAGCTGAGATCCGTACGTGCAACACTTCTCTAGTAACCAAGACCCACCAGGACGTTGCAGAGGCCACGCTGAAGCTTTAAAGAGTTCCTCTCCTTTGCAGTTCTGAGGACGGAGTAGGGAGGGAGGGAGGCCACTGAGGAAAGGGGAGATGATCCCACTGGGCCTTCCCGGCCTCGCGTGTAAGACGGTGGCTGTCCCAGAGTGGCAGTGGGGAGTGAGCAGCTATGTAAGGTGTCCAGGCAGGGGCACACGGGCAGCTTTGTGTGAAGTGGGCAGCCTTGGGCCAGGTTCCCTAGAAGCAGAGCTGAGATGGGGATTCCTAGTCATATGATTGGGGGTGCGTGCTTCCTGAGAAGCTGCTCCCTGCCCCATCCCCGAGCCCAGGGCGGCACTGACTGTGGGCAGCTTTCCCTTGCAGGGGGTGCTCCCAGCTGCCGGGAGGGCCAGTGGCCAGGGCCAACAGTTTGTTGTTTGTCCCCATTTCACAGATGAAGCAACTGAGGCTTGGAGAGACCCAGGGACT